CCATCCACCCACCCATCCATCCATCCATCCATCCATCTACCCATCCATCCATCCACCCACACACCCACCCATCCATGTATCTATCCACCCTTCCATCCAACTCACCTTGTGCCCCATCAGATGTCCTGTCAACATCACTGGGGTAGGAGGATTAAATGAGAGGATAGCACAGTTCCTGGCACAAAATTTCACTCCAAAAATGCTTGTTATTTAAAAATATATGAAATATTAATTGGAAAAAGTATTTTGAGGGTATTTCATCAATAGGACATAGTGTTCAGGATTCAGGTCTCCTCAAGCTCCTCCACTTTGGAAAATACACCTAGGACGTTTCCCAGGCTCTCTGCTTGGCAGTCAACAAGCCCAGCACAGTGGGGATGTTAGGATAGAGCAAAAGTGAACATATGTCATACTGTCCTGTCCTCTAAGACCACAGTCTCTAGGTACAGAAGTGGAAACCACTCAGGGCAAATTCATGCAGTATGACTGTAGGAAATAGGTGAAAGCTATTTGGACCAGCGTGCAGGGGCCAGACATGGCTCTGGAAGACAGAAGGGTGATTATGACTTGGATTGAGCATCTGCACAGCTTCTAGAACTGTGAGGGCTGAGGTGGACAGACCCACATTCAGGGAGAGAAAAGATGTGTGTAATGGGGCAAGTACACGTCAGAAGTGGGGAGCCATCTGTTTGTCTTGGTAAGGCCAGGCCAAGAGGCAGAGAGTTTTAAGTGCCAGGCAGAGGAGTAAGGCTCCTGTAGAAGTAGGAGCATGGTGTGGCAAAGGGCGGGGCAGTCGAGTGCCTGGAAACACCCAGAGGTGGCAGGTTGGTGGAAGAAGAGGGTTGTGTGGGTGGAGGTGGGAGAGAGCACAGCTTTGGCAGTGCACATTCATGCCTCCCAGCCTGCCTGTGCTTCTGACCAGCTGCATGACTTTGGCGAGCTAATTACCATTCCAAGCCTCAGTTTCCCCACCTGCTGAGTAGGCAGTGGAATCACTGTCATGATGCACATAAAGACTTCCACCGGGTGTCCGCCCTGCTCCTGCCTGCCCTGGCCCCTCCTATTCCCACGTAGGGCACCTGCACCACAACAGCAGCGGGAAATGACACATAGAGGGGCACATGGTACCCAAGAACAGAGTCACTACATGGAATTAAGTTTCCTGGCCTGGCCCCTTGGCATTTCCTGAAGTCCCTGATGGCTCCTTTAGGGAGGCCTGGAGATAGCTTGGGCTGGGAAGTGGTGTCATCCTGCAGGTCCGTGAATAGCAGTGGCGAGGGGTGAGGACTAGATCTTGGCCTCCTGATTCCAACTCCATGCTCTCGAATGTCCCCCAGGGTGGCCCCTCTCTAAGCAGCTTTGAGAGGGGGCAGACTGCCCAGGACTTCCCCAGAGGCTCAGTGTCCAGAGGGTGTGGGGAGAGGAAGGCCAGGACACAGAAAGGAGGGGTGAGGCCAAGACACCAGCAGATTTGTCTGGACTTGGAAGGAGTAGATATGCCCCAGGACAGCCTTTACTCTGGTGACAATAGTGTGGATGGGACAGGGGAAGAATGAAGGAGCTGAGGAGTCAGCTGACCCTGAGAGGCGGGGTGAGAAGTTAGAATCGAGGTCTGAGGGGTATCTAAGAAGGAGATTTCTTTGGGCAGTAGGGGCAACACTTCCTGGTTAGGAAGGAGATTGTTATGAAAGAGAAAATGAATAGTGAAGCTGATTTTTATACAGGCTTGTAAAGTTATTTATTTCTTTTTTAAAAATGTATTTAGTACAAGGTCTACAGGGTCTCACTACACAGATTAGGCTCCTAGTGACCCTTCTGTTTTCAGCCTCCCAAGCCAGGGATTACAGGCATGTGCCACATCACCCAGTCTCAGTTGCTGTTTTAGCCTGCCCTGGGGGTGGGGCCAGCATGGCACACTGGAGATTGGGATTGAACCCCCGTCCCTGCACCTGCCTAAGCAGGCACTTTAGTCCGCTGAGCTATTTAGTTGGCCCCCTGTAAGGTTATTTCTTGTACATTTAGAAACTGACCACCTAGGTTTAGTTGTTTACTGAAAAAGAAAATATTTAAAAGCATAAAGACAAATATAGGGGAGCCAGGGAGATGGCTCAGTAGAATAAGCATTTCCCCGGCAAGTGCAAGGGCCTGAGTTCAATCCCCAGTTCCCGCCAAAAAAGAAAAAAAAAAAAAAGACAAATATAGGGGAAGAACTGAGCACAGGGACACCTTCCTCCTCTTGTTTAAGGAGAGGAGGAGGAAGAAGAAAATCTGGAACTCCAAGCCTGTGAGGACACTAACCCTTTAAGACAGAATAGGTATTGGCTGTGTGTCTGTGACCACGAGAATAGAAATTTGTCTGCTGCGACCCTGTAGAGTACAGAGAGAGGAAACACTAGAGGGGTTCTGAGAAGGGACTTGAGGAACCTGGAGGAGATGGTTATCAGATAGCCAGTAGGGGTAGGGGCAGCTCCCACAGTAGTCTCCCTAGTGTTTCTCTTTCTGTCTCTCTGTCTCTGTCTCTGTCTCTGTCTGTCTCTCTCTCTCATCCTCTCTCTCTGTTGGCTGGCTGCTCGAGTGTGGCTGGGGTTGCCCTGCTTACAGGAGCTTTCTAGAACATCCTGGCATATTCCTCAGCAGCCTTTCTCTCCATACAGATGGGGGACGAGAGCCCCAGAGTCCAAGAGGGATTGCAGGTCGGTGTCTCAGAACCCCCAGGGCCTTGGGCTGCTTAGTGTCGTGTCCTGGGGCTGGCTGTGTCCCAGCTGCCTGCTTCTTTTTGTTTTCTTTCCAGTCTACTTCTGGCAAAGTCACACAGGGATCAAGTATAAAGAGGCACTCGAGAGCTGCCCTATACACGCTGTTCGCTGTGATGGGGTGATGGATTGCAAGCTTCGGAGTGACGAGCTTGGCTGTGGTAAGGAGGCCAGCCATGGAGGGGCTCTGTGTGTGTGTGTGTGTGTGTGTGTGTGTGTGTGTGTGTGTGTTAGGCATTCTGGTGACTACAAACTGTGCTACAAACTACAGCTCAGAGCAGTAGATGGACAGAGAATCAGAAGATCTGGATTCTGATTACAGCAGATGTGGGGCTGAAACATGGCTCTGAGTGCTGTGTCATTGGATAAGTCATTCACATCATTTGCCTTTCCCTGGGCTTCAGTTTCCTATTTTATAAAACAAGAGGATTGGACACAATCGGTGGCTCTCGAAGTCTGACACCTTTCCAATAGCAGACTGAGCAAAGCAGAGGAGCTCTGGCTGGAGCCCTGTTCTTGGGCCCCTCCTCTTTGGCAGGTGACCTCTAAAGCCCTAGATAAGTACACTAAGATCTGACTGAGTGCTGGTCCTCAGTGATTTTGTGCACAACCAGGAGTGGGGTGTGTGCAGCCCTGCTACGAAGCGTGTGCATGCGTGAATGTCCCGTCATTTCACTCTGCATTTACGCATCCCTTCGCCCACAACTTCATCCACTTGTGACTGACCTTGTGCTGTGAACACTCACTGTCAGTCCCCCTCATCACTGTCTCCTTTGGGCATGGGAGTGGCCCTCTCTTGACAGCTCCTGGCCGCACTGGCCCTTCTCCCTCTTGCTCTGTCACTGCCCCTCACTTCGGCTCTGCCCTTCTGATTGCTGCTACTCTGGCCAGCCTCCTGGGTCTTCCCCAGACCTCAGCAATGAGTCCTGGGACAAGAGCTTCCTCAGCTCACTCCCCAAGAGCTTGCAGGCTTCTGGGTGCTGAGAACATACTCTGTCTTTTCTGCTATACAGTGAGGTTTGACTGGGATAAGTCTCTGCTTAAAGTCTACTCTGGATCCTCTCATGAGTGGCTGCCCATCTGCAGTAGAAACTGGAATGACTCTGACTCCCAGAAGACCTGCCAGCAGCTGGGGTTTGAGAGGTAAGCTTTCCGAAGGTCCTGGCTTTGGAATGCCATAGGTACTTCACAGGGCTGCCAAAGGCATATTGCTGACACCTCCTAGTATCACGAAACCCCCGGGAACCAGGGCTGAGCTTACCAGTTTGGAACACCCTGGCATCCTGAGTGTGGGGCAAGCTGTTTTCCTAAGGCCCAGGTGATTATTATAGAGCTGTAATGATAGCAACCTCATCTACTGTTCTAGGCATCAAAGCACTCTTGGGTCTATCAGCACGTTGAGTGGCTATAGGCACAGCCCTGTGAAGGTGGTGGGCATTTGGGCAGGAGTTGTCTTCTGAGTTGTGCCTTTGAGCCATAGCAGCTGTGGTTTGGGCTGGAACTTATCAAATGGGAGTGAGATGGGGCAGGTTTGGCTGGTCTATGTCCTACAAAGCTTTGGCTCTAAGGATGTTAAACCATGCAGCCAGTGCTGGAGCAGGGAGCAGGGAGCAGGGTGAGAAATGGAGAGAAGGAGTTTGCAAACTGCAGGCCAGGTAGGCCACTCCATTCTCCCTCTTGGTCTGAATTTTCAAGTTGAGTCACCTGGGGATTCACTGATACATGTGAGTTTTGGGGAGAAGGGTTTAGATCTCCCTGTGGAGAGCCTGAAGAACACTTCCAAAAGACCCTATAGAGAGGCTGGCGAGATGGCTCAGTGGTCTAAAACACCTACTTAGAACAAGCTTAGCAAAGCACCGGGACCGCGGTTCAGTTCCCCAGCACCACATGCCAGCCAGCCCCGCCCCCTAGCGGGCTAAGCTGGCCACACACACACATAAAAAGTGCCCTGAAGGCATTCGAGGAACAAAAAAAAAAAAAAAAAAAAAAAAAAAAGACCCCTATAGAAAAGGTACCTGGAAAACCAGAGCTGGCAGCTAGGACTCAGAGCTAGTTTCCTGTCCCCTCTCCAGCCTCAGAGTCCTGGCCTATAACAGAGAGTCCAAAGGATCCAGACAGAAGACTATGGGCATCTTTTCTAAAATGTGTCCAACTTCGTGCAAGTGTGGGGTTCTTTGTCATTTATTTTAAGCATGTTCATTAAACTTTTATGAAGTATCAGAGACTACCTGACACCCGGACACAAAGGAGTAATATGAAATCCCATAGTTGAAGGCCCTCTACTGTGGTTTGGGGGAGCGGGGAGTGCTCCCACAATCCCATGCAAAGAATGTATGTGAAGCACTGAGGGCACATGGTGGAGAGAAAGCCTATGTGCACTTGGAAGAAAGAGCTGAAGGGCCCTCTGGGTAAAGGAAGAGCATGTGCAAAGGCCCAGCCTCACACAAGGGCACAGCACTTTCTAGAAATTTATACAATTCCACATAGAGAGTGAAACACACCAAAATTAACTGACATAAATGCGCCCTAGAATTTGAATCACTGGGGTTAGGACTTCAAACCTACTGAGGAAACAGCCAGAGTGATTCTTTGGCACACTCTGCTCTGAAGCTGCCGCAGTGCTTGGCAAAGGTTCTCGAACTTTACGTGTAGATTCAGATTTAGATTCAGTAGGTCTGGGGTGATGCTGATGGCTCTGGTCTGCAGTTGACGGTTTGTTGGAAAAGGACTAGACTAGTATTTCTCAAGCTTACGCCTGTGTTGGAATTGCCTGGAGAGCCTGACAGACTCAGGCCCAGAGCTTTAGGTCTGCAGGTCTGGGCAGGGCTTCAGAATATACGTTTCTAACAACTTCCCAGGTGATGTTGATGCTGCCGGTCCAGGAGGAGCACAACGTGAGAAATACCTGGCTAGAGAATAAAGCCTGTGGGGACAGGGGTGGGATATGTGGGTGAGCTCAGGCTCCTCCCCTGTATAACGTGACTGCTACCCAGTAGCACAGACACAACATAGATCTCTACAGTCCAGTCTCTGTCCTCAGGGCTCTCAGCGTAGGGGCGCTGTGGTGCTACTCTTGGGTGCTGCCTCCATCAGGCTTTTCTTCTTTCCCCTCCCCTCCTGCAGTGCTTACCGGACAACTGAGGTGGTGCACAGAGATTTTGCCAGCAGCCTTTCAATCTCTGAGTACAACTCCACCATCCAGGAAAGCCTCTACAGGTACAGTGGGGTGGGACATGCTTCCTGCGTGTGAGCAGACAATGAGGCCAGAGAGTGGGACTTTGAGCCAGGGACACCGTCTCCTGCCTTTCTAGCCCCGGGCTCTGAAGTGCATCCCAACCACTCAGGGGCCCCTCCGAAGTGGTGCTCATTTACTATGCTGCCTCCTGGCTTAACAGCGATGCTTGAGGCTTGGGGTAGAAGGCACCTGGAGATCAGTGGGGCCTGGGACTGCTTCTGCAAAGCACTGACCTCCTCCTGAACCCTTCCTGGTCCTCCTCCTCGCTTTCTGTCTTCCATTCTTTGCACTGCAGCCCTACTAAGGGTTAGGCTGGGGAGTGCTCCTTTCTTACAGAGGGGAAAGAGAACAAGGCTCCGAGGAAGGAGACTGTGCAAATGGGTGGGGGTGGGATGCCAGCTGAGCAGGAGCCAGTCAGGGAGGTTTGTTTCAAGGAGGTAGAAAAGTGCGCTTTCCTACCTCCAGTGTTTTCTCCTGCAGGTCTGACTGTCCTTCCCAGAGATACATCTCTCTCCAATGTTCCCGTAAGATGCTCCTTTTCTTTCGCAGACTGTGGCCCATGTAAGGTGGGAGTCAGGGGGCTCAGAGGGCAGGAGATGTGGCCCTTCTGAGGGAGATGCTGACCCTGAGCGTCCAACACAGGAGGCTAGGCCAGCAAGGAGGACTGGGGGCTCCCAGGACACTGTTTCCTCTGTGCCTGACCCTGGTGGGAGATTGGTTGGCAGCCACTCTCATGCTAACAATGCCACTCGAAGCTCCTGCCATGACGGGGGCCAAGGGCTAGACAGGACAGCAGGTGGGCACCAGCTGAGAGGTTAGCACCAGCAGATGGGAAACTGATGCCTACCCTTACTGCACACAGTGAACCAGGAGGGCAGTGTGCCCCCCTCCTTACAAACATGCTTGCATTCATGCCTACCCGAACCCCACAAGGCAGGTGCCATTACTACCCATTTACTGAAAAGAAATCCAAATATTCATCTTGCCTGAGGTCAGATTGCCCACTGTTAGGAGAGGAGCTGGCGTCCGACTTCAGGTCTGACCCCAAAGCTGAGGATGTGAACTGCGCCAGTGGCCTGTGTTCCCAGCGTCCACCGGAGTTGGATTATGCCCTCTTTAGGGCTCTGCTGGTTCCTTACTATTTCCGTAAAGGGAGAAAGCACAACTGTAAATGCACATCTGAACAAATCCAAAGACCTCCCTCCTGTCCACGGCTTCCTTGCATGGAAGAATTCCTAGCAGCACGTGATGGCCCATCCCAGCATCATGCAGGCACAAGTCCACCAGCGCATCATGCGGAGTTCATTTGTCCCTTGTTTTGAAATGACAGACATTCTTGTCACAATGCTTATCAGTCCAGGGCCATGTTAGAATCCATCTACTTTCCTGAGCCCCACATGACAGCCTTGGGGTTCCCCTCTGCACTGCAATGATTGCTGGCTCAGTGCCAATGCATGGGGCAGGGAGCAAGCATTTGTCAAACTAATGCAAAAAAATGAGAGGAAAGAGGAAGCCGCCTAGGCTTGAACTTTCTGCTGGGTGAAGCTAGAAAGCTGGCCTCCCATGTGCTACTTCTGCTTGGGCCAGAAACGTCTGTGTTGTTGAAGCAAAGAGACATCTGGTGTTGTTGAAGCCTGCACTGGGCCCAGAGAACATGGCCCAGGGTGTGGAAGAAGCAGGTTTTATGATTCATTTCTTTCACTCTCCCAGACTGTGGACTGAGAGCTATGACCGGAAGGATTGTGGGAGGGGTGCTGGCCTCGGGGAGCAAGTGGCCCTGGCAAGTGAGTCTGCACTACGGCACCACCCACATCTGTGGGGGCACACTCATCGGCCCCCAGTGGGTGCTCACCGCTGCCCACTGCTTCTTTGTGTGAGTGTCCTGGGGCCCTGTGAGTCAACGCTCCACACAGACCTCCCTGTGGGGAAGGACTTTGGTGTGAACCAGTTCCCATGGAGCGTACAACTCCGGTGCTGGTGGGTGACCACTCCAGAGCCAGGATTTGCTGTCATTACTTGATCCCAGGAGCTTGAATTGGGGTACCTGCTCTGAGCTGGCCCCAAGGATGAGAAAATGTCACTGCTAGCTCCCAGGGAGGGTGAGGCAGGCAGACAGTGGGACTTCAGATCCTGCCTCTGAAGAGCCCCGAAGAGTCTTAGAGCTTCTTGCTGCCTCCTCCAGTATAAGCCTAAGAAACCAGGAATGCTGTCGCAGGATGTGAGGGCTGGGGGCTGAAGGGGATCTGTGTAACTGGTTCTCGACATTCCCCAACCAACCTTGTCCCTTTGGAAGCCCTGGTTTCCCAAGTACTGAGACTTCAGTGGGTCCCTTTGTCCTGTCCAAGCTCTGCCGAGGGTCTGACAACCACAAATCTGCCCCCCCCCCCGCTGTATCTGGCCCTCGGTGGTGTGCAGATGAGATTGTGGGCACGGAGCACTATGCAGGGGTCTAACTCATCCCCTCCCCTAATGTGCAGACAGCCAGTTCACAGCAGCTTTTTGGGAGCATGGGGAACTATTTTAGACCCCAGACGCTAGAGGGCTCCCTCCATAGGTCATGGCATCCATTCCCCTGCCTCCCAGCTGGCCTTCCTGCTGCCACTCCCTGTGCCTCGCAGGTGCTGCCAGTGAGCTCTGCTAGGCTGCTAACAGGACCTTGCTGTCTTGGCTCTTGCAGGACCCGAGAGAAGATGCTGGAGGGCTGGAAGGTGTATGCAGGCACCAATAACCTGCACCAGCTGCCTGAGGCAGCCTCCATCACCCAGATCATCATTAACAGCAACTACACCGACGAACAGGATGACTATGACATCGCCCTCATGAGGCTCTCCAAGCCCCTGACCCTATCCTGTAAGCAAATTGTGGGCCCCCCTCTTCCCTGGCACCATTGGCAGCCCTTGGACTTGGCAGGGCCCTGTTGACCCATCTCAGGGCCCCAGAGCATCACCACAGCAGAAATCAAAGGCCCTTAGAGACAATGAAATGGAACACTTTTATTTTCCATTGTGAACATGGAAGTCTGAGGATTAGAAATAAGCTTGCCCCAAATGACACTTCTTACATTACAACTGGGTGACAGAGTCTGGGCATGTATACTGCTTTTAATAGGTATAAATACATTGATCGTTTCCTCCTCGTAGTAACTGAGCACTTAACAGTGGTCAGAGACTGTGGTAGATGTTTGGCATATGTGATTGACATACTCTTCCCAACCAACCTTGCGAAGCAGGTCCTATTATTAGCTTCATTCAGCAGATGAGGAAGTGGAGCTTTAGGAGGAGATAATTACCTGAGGTCATGAGTGGTAAGTGGTAGGTCCAGGATGGGATCCAGGTTGATCTGATTTCCAAGTGACGCTCTTCCCACTTGGCTCTGGGCTGGCCAATTGCATAAACCTCAGTGGAGAACGTGAGCCAAGTGCACATGCAGTGAACTAACTGCCCCAAGGTTGGAGGGAAGGACCACGTGAGGCCACTGCACGGAAATGCTGGGGAAGTGCTCAGACCACTGAAGGCTGCATTTGTCCATTCACTTATTGAACACCAGTTCTGTGGCAGTCGTGGCAAATAGAACAAAATGAGTGATACAACCAGAAGAGGCCAATGAGGCCATGCTGGGGGATGGGGAGGGCTAAGGAGGCAGAGATGGGGTCCCAGAATCAGTCCTGGAAGGATTGGGGAGGCTTCCCCAGAGAGGATAGCTAAGGTGGGTTCTGAAAGGACTAGTGAAGACAGGTAAGGGGAGGACAGCGGGGACCCTGAAGACTGAGGCCAGGGTCCTCTAGCATAAGCAAAGTTGCACACTTCAGAGGTCAGGAAGTCCTGGAGGACTCTCTGGTCAGTCCCGCCAGCTCTGTTCTAAGCCCGTGAGTTGCTGTGTGCTGGCACATGCGTTTTGGAAGTGATGTCTGTCATGAGTCACGGCAGTGAGCTCATCAGAGTGGAGTGAGGGGGAGGATCCTCGGCAGAGCTGGATGCCTGGCCCAGAGCTGCACCTGACAGAGGCCCCACCAGTAAGCCACTCCTACCCAAGCCACGCCTCCTGACCCTGCAGCGCTGCTGTAGGGGAGCCTGGGGCTCAGTAAGGGAAAGGATGCCAGCTGCCTCCTTACGCACATACAATGAGACAGTCTGCAGCACTAGAGAGGCCTTCAACCTGTAAAACCCAGATTCCATTTGGCTAAACATCCGGGTCTTACTTCTCACCCCCCCCATCTTAATGTTACTGGAACTCCAAACTAAATTAGGTAACTTCTAAGGCCAGTGAAAGCTGTCACAGTGTCTCACAGGCTCTTCAGAGGGTGGCTGTCCCTCTCCGAGTCTGAACAGGAGGAGAATTGCAGCTCAGATTTCTATAATCCTGTGGTCAGACCATTGGCCTTCATTTTTGATTTACAAATCAGGGCAGCTTTTTCTTAAACTGTTGTGGCAGGTCGAGCACCTTAAAGCCACAATACATTCTGAGAAAACTTGTGAAAACTCATTGATACATTTACTTTTATAAAAACAAGCAAGATCTATGAAAATGGGACATACAATAGTGTTATACATTTTAAAGATTTTATATTTCAAAAATGAACATAGAGAAGTACGTTTTGCATTTTTGTTCATAATTTGTGTTATCCCTTCATTTATTTGTGTGTGTATTTGCTCTTTTTTATATGTATTCAGTACAGAATAATCAGGGTCTCACTATATAGATTGGACTCGTAGTGATCCTCTGTTTCTCAGCATCCCAAGCACCAGGATTACAGGCCTGTGTCGCCACACCCAGTCTCAGTTGCTGTCCCAGCATGCCGCGGGGGCGGGACTGGCATGGCAGGCTGGGGATCGAACCCCTGGCTCCTGCATCTGCCTAAGCTGGTGCTTTAATCTGCTGAGCTATCTGGCCAGCCCTTATGTGTGTATTTACTCTTTAACAGACAAAATGTGATAGCCAACATTTAAAGTTTATTTATTTTTGGGGGGGGGCTTACAACAAAAAACTTTATTTCTTGCTCTTGTAGCATATCCATGACAGGGCAGCAGGGGGACTCTGCTAGCTCATCATTGCTGTCCAGTGTCATCCACTCTATGCATCAACATTCCTCATTACCTTGACAAGTGTGAGCCTAGAGACTCCCTTCCTGCTTTATACCTGTCCTCTTAATTTATGTGACTGTTTCATTGGCCAGAGAAAAAAACATGGGGGCTCCGGACACCAGGGGCTAGAAGGAAAGAGAATTTACTTGACCACTAGATCACACACAACGATGATATGGTCTAGTAGCCTTCCCAGGTAGACCTGATGATAGAAGAGGATAAAAGCAATCATCTCAATGTTTTGTACTAAGGGTTAGGTACTGCTTTAATCATTGAATGTGTATCGTAATTTTATCCTCTTTTTTTTTTTTTCAAATTGGTAGGACAGTTTCAGTAATTAACACATTCCATACTGTCTTCCTAGTAAAGTCTAATTTGTGGGGAAAGAATTTAATATTCATTCATTCTTCCTTCCCTCCTTTTTTCCTTCCTTCCTTTCTGTCTTTAAGAGCTCACTGAGCACTTGGTATGTGTCAGACACCCTCTTAGGATGCCGCAGGTAGATAGCACAAGTGCTTGAGAACACTGGAAAATCCCGCCCTGTGATGTTTCTCCTTGCAAGTGGATTGCAGTGGTCGAGGCCTTCATCCAGCAGGAGTGCTGGGCTGCAGAGGAGGCCGGAAGCACGGCTCAACAACACCTCTGAAATACTGTGGAGTGTGGGAGCGAGAGAGCATGGCATTGCAATCTGCGACTCTAGGAACGTGCTTTTCCTGCATAGAGAGCTTTCTCTATGCCAGGTGCACGTTTGGAGAGAAAGAGTCATCTAGGGTCCTCCTGGATCAGTGTGCACACGCTGTGAGAAGCCATGGCCCCAACATCTTGGACTGAGCTTGCTGCTGTCTCTTACCCTGAGAGAAAGGCATGGAAGAGACCCGGCCAGTGCAGTGACTCTAAGTGGGGTGGGGAGAGACCCTCTGATGTTCATAAGAAGGTTTCCAAGGCTGTGCACCCACCTATGTGGCAACCACTGAAATCAGAATGGCTTTGAGGAGTTTAGCAGCACCCAACAACTAGTGGGATCCGATAAAGCAATTAAGTTTCTTGTCTGGTCAGTCCGAGGTCCTGGAGGATTCAGAGCCTCTGTAGGAGCAAGAATGGGGATCCTAGAGTGGTAGAATTCCTGCCCCTCACACCCCACCAAAATCTCCAGCCTTGCTCCTTCCCTAATGCTTTGAAGTCTTGTTGCAGCGCACATCCACCCTGTCTGCCTCCCCATGCATGGACAGACCTTTAGCATCAATGAAACCTGCTGGATCACAGGTTTTGGCAAGACCAAGGAAACAGATGGTAAGGGGCGCAGACGCTAAGCTGTGTGTGTGTGTGTGTGTGTGTAGGCATGTAGGCGTGTGTGTATGTGTGGAAGCCACGGCCGGTGTCTAGATGAAGACTTTCTATAACCCAGTGGGAATTTGGGTCTAGAGACTCATGAGTCTGGGTATGAATGTGTGTATACAGACACCTGCCCACAGGTTAACACCATCAGTGTGACAGTGGTCTCCGGGCAAGACCATTGAGAAACCTCTGAGGTTGAACAAGTTGAGTTCTTTGCTGATGGCAGTGAGGGAGAAAACACACGGTGGAGACATGGAGCAGCTCATGGAGAGAGCACGAGAAAGGGCATATTGTAGGATATGCATGGCTGGGGGGGAGGGGCAAAGACGGGAGACTTTTCTCCAGGCTGGATACTGTCAGGAAGCACAGGTAACTATGCTTAGGAAAGTTCGTGATGTCAACCTCTTGTGAGAAAAAGCCTAAGCCAAAATGTGGAGAATCAGCAGTGCCTGAATTGTCCTAGGAAAGATGATGTTTGATATTTTTGAAATTTGCACAGCGACCTTGCTTTCATCTTAACATCCTTTTAAAACAAAAAAAGTTTTTATTTGTTTATGTATTTATTTGTTACAGGGTCTCGCTACACAGCTCAGACTCATAGTGATCTTCCTGTCTCAGCCTCCCCAGAGCTAGGATTACAGGCACGTGCTGACATGCCCCAGTTTTGCATCTGTGGTTCTGGGGCCATCATGGCATGCAATACTGGGGATCAAACCTAGGTCCTTGTGCTTGCCAGGCAAACACTTCGACCACTGAGCTATCTCCTCAGCCCTCATCTTAACATCCTCAACAGGATGAAGTGCTCTTTTTTTTGTGTCTCCCTTCATCCCAGCAGTAGACAGCCTCCATCCCTGATGGGCTGTGTGGCTGTGGGCAGCTCACTTCTTCAGCCCTAGGTGGCGCCACCTGTAAACGGCTCTGAAAGATGTGTGTGTGTGTGTGTGTGTGTGTGTGTGTGTGTGTGTGTGTGTTTGGGGAGGGAGTTAAGAGTATGTATCCACTTGTGTGTCCTGCCACAGAGGTCCTCCTTGGGCCAGGTCCAGACACGGGTACAGTGTCCTCCACTTACAGATGACAGTTTAGATCCTGAGGTATGTGGCCAGAAGGCCATAGAGCTGCACCATCTCACTGGTTTCCTCTCTTGTGTTCCTCATGTCACTGAAGAGAAGACATCACCTTTCCTCCGGGAGGTGCAGGTCAATCTCATCGACTTCAACAAGTGTAATGACTACTCGGTCTATGACAGCTACCTCACTCCAAGGATGATGTGTGCTGGGGACCTTCGAGGAGGCAGAGACTCCTGCCAGGTGAGGGTGCAGGACCCTGAGGAGGAGAGGAGGCTGGGTGTGGAGCTTGGCGTGTTGGACTCAGGCTACCACCCTTCCCGATCAGGACTGCTCGCCAGCATGGCTGACATACTGCCTGTCCCTTGTAGGGAGACAGCGGGGGGCCTCTTGTCTGTGAGCAGAACAACCGCTGGTACCTGGCAGGTGTCACCAGCTGGGGCACAGGCTGTGGCCAGAGAAACAAGCCTGGTGTGTACACCAAAGTGTCAGAAGTCCTTCCCTGGATCTACAGCAAGATGGAGGTGAGACCCCAGCTAGAGGCACTGCACCAGGTGCTCTGGGGACCCCCAAAGGTGGGAGCCTGAAGGAGGCCCAGGCTTTTCAGGTTGTAGGCACAGGTCCTGTCAGCCTTTTGGATTTGGAGGTGCAGTGTCACATGTCAAGTCTGGGACCAGCCTGAGCTGTCTTTATTTCCCTCGTTTCCTTTCCTCAGAACAGAGCCTGCAGAGTTGTAGAGGTGTGGACTCAGGCTCATCGGCAGCTCCAGTACCACCTTCCTCCATGATGACAGAGCCATAAGTCCACACAGGCCACTGAAGTGGCCCTAAGTGTGTGCTAGTGGCTGCCTCCCATGCAGGAAGTTGGGGATCTACCCTTGACTCTATTGACCCAGCTCAGCTCCAGCTTTGCCTGGGTCCCCTAACTGTAGCTTTAAAGCTGGGAATGCTATGTCCAGTCAGAACAGAGGGCTGGGAAGGCTGCTCCCACACCCAGCACAATGGGATTCCCAGGATGCTCTCTTCTCTCTCCTCCCCTCAGAGTCAGTGCCAGGTAACTGCTCAGCTGAAGGCTGGCCCCAGAACCTCACCTTCGACTTCTGTGTCATCCACCCATCCAGCCCACCCCCACTCACCCTGTTTTCCCTTCTGTTCCTCAGAGTGAGGTGCACTTCCAAAAGTCCTAACCAGCTCTCGTGCACACACTGACCTCTATGAAGACTGAACGAGGGCCCTGGGCCACGTGCAGCATCTGGGCTAAAGGCACCCAGATCTTACTTCATCATTGCCACCTCGTCTGCTGCGTGTGTGTGTGTGTGTGTGTGTGTGTGTGTGTGTGTGTGTGACTGTCCTCTGAAGTTCTCCAGAAACCAGGAGAACTCTCAACTCTTCTTGGAACCCCAGGCTGGAAATCTTCTGGAGAAGAAGAGCTTGGGTATTGTGGATGTTCCCACAGGGGAGTCCACGGATGAATGAAGGAGGTAAAGCCAAAACAGCCCAGAGAAGGTCCAGGAGAGTGACATCAGGAGTTTCTGCTCCTTGGACCCTAACTTGGAGACTAGGCCAGAGCCTGCTTGGGTGACGTCATTGCTGTCCTGACACAAAATGTCAAGCATGCGCTCCCCAGGGCCTGGACTGTCCTCAATGGAAAGGCGTTCCCACCAGCGTCTGTGCCCTCACTCAGAACTCCTGCAGGTGCCGTGGATGCCATGGATGTCCTCAGCCGGGCTGGGCTGTGACTGTCTGCCCTGTGACCAAAGCTCACTGCACTTGTTTGGTCACAAGCTGTTGGGACAGATTTTATTTCATTTTATTTTTATATTTATGTAATATAAATATTGTAGATATATTTAAAAATAGCTCCCAAAATTTCAGGGCCTTTGAGAGTCAGCATTAATCACCCTCCCATCCCAAGAACTCTAAGGGATTTATAGGTGCATCCTACAAAATATTGCAGGAGAAGGGCCTAGAAAATGTTCCCAGGGTAGACTTTTCCCAGTCAGAGGTACTCAGGGAAGCAAACCTTCATCTGGGCCTGCAGGTAGATCCAATGCAGACCTGCAAACTGTTCCTGCCTCGAAGAGCTACAGTGAGGATATGGAGAAAGGAGAAGGCCAGGTGGACACCGCCTCTCATACCTAGGGGCTGTTCTGGGAGCGTAGGGCTTCATTCCAAGCTTTCTTGACCTTTCAGTTTCTTGGTTCCAGAAACAGTACAACCATAAGAAGGAACATGGAGAAGAGGCAAACACCATGCAGGCCCTCCAAGTAGCTGTTCCAAGCTGGTCCTGGTTCTATGGGCCATCAGTGTGTCCCGCCTCTGTGCCAGCTGAAGGCCCATGCCTCCCTAGGCTTTTCTCTGCGGCACCTGTTTCTCCCCAGTCCCCTCTTCCACCTTCCATGTGGTGCTATAATTCTCAGAAGCAGGTGCCAACAGATCAGCCTGGCCCAGCCCGGCTTAGGCAGGAAGCCCTGAAGAGCAGGCTGGAGGTGACTAGTGGCTGGGTAGAGCCGAATGTGGATGATATACTGGGGAATGTTACCAAGGCTGGGGAGAAGGACAACATTCATGTCCACCACAGTCCACCAGCTATGATCTTCAGCAATAAAAGTGTATTACCTGAAGAACTCTGTGCTGGATGTTTTACTGATGACCTAGTTTAAAAACGGAGGCTATTCAGCCAGATATCTCAGTTGGAGTTCTTAGTTTGGGTTTCTCATCTTTGGCTTTTGCTCATGCAATCATGCATTCATTCATTCATCTAGTCACTAACACCATCAGTGCCTACGTATGCCAGATACTCCTGCCAGTCTCAGAGGTACGCAGAGCTGGCAGGGTCTTAAGGACCTGGTTATGACCCAGAGTGATGGAAGCTGTGATTGGGTGGGGACACCAGCCTAGAAACATGGATAGAGAACACATTAGCCACACCTAAAGAGATTAAGGAAGGCTTTACAGAAGAGATTAGGATTGGGATGAATCATAAGGGTAAGTAAACCTTTCCAAAGCACACAAGGAGCAGAGGGAAGGGTGCTCTGGAGCTTGTCCTTTTCCCTTCATCTTTCTTTGCTCCTTCCTCATCAGCTCAGCAAGAGGCAGGCTCACAAGGAAGCCCCAGCTCTTACTCAGCTACTTCCAAGAAAACTGGACTGGTAGTCCACTAGCCTCTTGTGCAAGAGCTGCCTTTTACACTTTGCACTCATTTCTCCTTCATTTAATCTGTGGGCCTCAACACTAATGATCCCACTAGTGACTGCCTCATGTGCAGCAGCATCACCGCATGCATTGACGCTTCCAGTCGCAGCCCAGAATTCTCCACGTCTGCTCTTTTGTGTCTGGCTTTGGACCCCTCAGTTTGGTTTGTTTTAGTCTCTCAGATGCCAGGGGGAATCCTCCCATTCATTTCTTGTTCCATCTTTTCAAGACGTTAGAAAGAAGATAGGGAGGGCCATGATGCTGTACTCTCTGTATTCTCCTACTCTAATAGATCCTAGAGTTTCCACTGCTTAACACAATCACAATATATTTCTCACTCATTAACAGTCCAGTGAAGATGTTCTTGTCCATGGGAGGCCTTCTTACACAGGTTTTTCAAGGCCTCCTGTCTTTCCATATTTTGACCTTCTCATTTCCATTGTTATCTACTTCCAGCTAGACAGAGAACATGAAGACATCCACTTCTTAAATGCTCTGGCTCAGAATTGATGCCTGTAGTTTATAGATGCAAGTCGCCTCAGAGTAGACAACTTAGATGAAGGCTGGGAAATGCAGTCTGATTCTTTTGGGAGAGTGTGAGGACATGTCTCTCTCTGCCCACCAGAGGAAGCTGACTGACTCCAGCAGCCAGACCTGGAGCACCGAGTTAGGACTTGGGCCATTTCTGTTTTTTGTTTTTTTTTTTAATTAGATCCTTTCAATGGCTTTCGAGATAAACTGGCATAAATTGATTAGTAGTTAGGGGGCAGAGAAATAGGCTAGAGAAAAAGTGGGCTATAAATAAGGAAAGAAAAACATTCCATTGGCCCAGGACATTGAGAAAGGATAAAGAAATTCATGGAAAGAGTTCTCGGGGCTTCCCAAACTGGTCCAGAGGCTCCAGGGAGCTAAGTAGTATGTGCTGTTAGGTCCTTACAATTAGGCCTCTCCTGACCGGAAGAGAAAAAATACAGACCATCATTCGGTTCCAGCAGAAGTCCTTGCGCTCCAGTCTGAGCAATTAAATAAATCTGTTTAGCAGGATGGCTCCTAGGCCTGGTCTTCAATCTTATAGGAAACCTACAATGGCCGTGATTCATCCAGATGACTGACACTGACAAAGGATCTACAAGCTGCTGAACATGGTTTCAGGGTAAATCCTGAGGGGATTTGACTGATCTTGTCAGATACAAAAGTTATATTTTTAGTTATATAGGTCTTGCTTTATCTTGGTCTTAACCATCCAGCAGAAAAGTATAACCATGAGGTATAAAGAGTAATGTCATATTAATATGTGAAGCTGTAAAAGGCTCAAGTCAACAACTTCTGACAATCGCCAGTTCTGCTGATAACCCACTACTATTATGGACTACTGTACTACAAATTGGGTTATTTTGCTGAATTCAAGTACCTACAATCTTTGGACTGGCATCAAGTATGAAAAGGTCCTTTAAAGACTTCTCCAGGGGCCGGGGAGATGGCTCAGTGGAATAAACGCTTCCCTGGCAAGCACAAGGGCCTGAGTTCAATCCCCGGTTCCACAAAAAA